CCAATTTGGAACTCTGTGTCATCCGGATGAACACCTTTCCATCCATAACTACAAGGATCCCGGAGAGACTGTGCCTCCAAAAAAAAGCATCAGGATAAAGTAATGCATGGTAAAATGCTATATACTTTCCATATCTCTGTGAGTGAATTGTTGTGGGAATTACTTAAAAATGGGTCAAAGAAGGGTGATGGTAAAACAGCACATGGAAAATATACTTAATTGATATATTTGCTTGTTTTATTCAATCGACTTAATTCAGCAGCTAATTCCAGTTTCTAGACCATATATTGGATGGCATTATGTCTGTTGCATGTAATCAAAAGAATGATATCCTGCCAGCTTCACAGTTGTAAGTCATAAAATTTGTCCTCTGGCTACCCAAAACTCAAATTTAAAATGTTGCCCTAACTTGCAAACATACAGAAATTATTTACTTTTTACATCTTGTTAGACTAAATTTATTTACAATTTACAAATTTACAATTTATTGTTCATTATCCAGTTATTTCTTTTCCCGAGGAGTAGAAGAAAGTCGTTCTGAAAGCTATTGGAGATGAAGATCAGTGCCAAATGAAATCTGAAATAAAATCATCTGAAACAAGCAGCAAAGTTGGGCATTCCTCTGCTGTATTTTGGTATACAGATAATAATCTTTTCCCTTAGGATATAACCCTATTCTCCTGACAATAGGTATTTGCTTCTGGCTATGATTTCTAAAATCATAAGTAAGTAAGTTACTTCAAAGTATGATTTTTATCAGTCTGAAATGGAGGCATGCTTCAGAATTATAGATATACCTTTAAAATTGGTTTCCTTTCACCTTAATGATATGTACTCAGATTCCCTAATATGTGGACACAGATTGCATTTTATCTTTTTCCCATTTTTACATATGAGAAAGTATATCCTGTCTTTTGTTTGCTTGTTTATTTTTGGGTGGTATGTCATTTAGATGATAGCGTAGAGAATATTCCAACTGACCCATAAGACAAAATATTATTTTTGTCACATCTCAGATAAAACAGTGATAACAGTAAAATGAAAATATTACTCAATGTCCTGTTTAAAAGTCTGGATTGTCCAATAACCTAAACGAGGCTGCATATATGATTTAAAACAGACACAGGTTTCTGACCACAGAAACTTCTGAACTTGCTTTTATTTTAACAATTAATATCAAAATTAATTCAGCATTCAGGGTATGGGGAGTAGGAAACATTTTATATGCCAGCTGAATATACTGCATTTCATTTTTATATCATTCAATCTTTTTTCTTCTCTCCTATTTTTAGGTTGACCACTGGGCTATTAAATTTTATATGCTGAAAAAATGGGCAAATAGGGACTGTTTTAGGGTTACAACTCTTGGGAGGAATAAGGCGATCCACAACAAGTTGGGAAACCTTAGAAGAACAGACTAGTCAAAGCAGTTTGTCTCTCTGATGATTTCACATATTCTCTACCATAAAACAGTTACTACTCAGAGCCCAGTTTTATTCTCTTCTGTGAGTGACAGTATTGGAGGAATAGAAAAGCACCAACAAAATGGATACGTCATCCTTTAGACATAAGACAAACAGAAATGAGATCCAGAATTTGATTCTCGGCTGACAGGGTACACCCATTCTGCAGTGGTAGCAAGAACGAGGTTCCCTTTATGGTACTAAAGAAGGTAGTCACCTTCCTCACCTGTTTACTCACCCACCACTGGCTCATAACACATCTTTAGTGACCAATTAAGAGTGGGCAAATTCACAAGTGCTCTGTGTTTTAGTTGGTGAAGGGTTTTTTTCTGCTTTAACATCTTGTTAGGAATATTTCATCATGTTCAAAGCTCTGGGCAACATCCCATCATCAAAATCACATGTTACTCTGCATGTCTTAGCCTGGCTGAAAGAGCTTTTTGTCTACATTTCTTCCCTCCCAGCTAAGGGAAATTGCCCTTGCTCCCCTTTACCATAACTGAGTTTATTTATGTTTGGCTGGTGCTGTTCATTTTGGTAGCAAGAGTAAACTGGTTTCTTTTACAGCTCCATTAGTAGTGGTACAATACCTGATGGATGTGTGTTCCTCCTGTCTCATCCTCCTCTCTTTCATTCTTTTTTTCTCTGCTTATTATACAATTTGTTTTTTGAAGACCTATCTTGATGTTCAACCTCTGATGTTCAAATCAAAATGTGTACTTACAGCACTTTCTGCTAACTGCATGATACTAAGTGTGTATTGAGAAATGATGCCTAAAATGTTACTAGAATAAAATTTTGCTAGTTTAGGAGGTTTATAGAGAGGAAGATACCTGAGGTCTAGAAATAAAACCAAACCGTATCACCTTGAGTTTTGGACACTGGTTTAACAGTATAGGAATTCTACTTTTTAAATTTCACTTTTAAAAATATATTAAAATACCAAATATACTAACTGGCTAAACAGTTACTGCATACACACAGGTATAGAGTACTAGAAAACTAGAGTTTTCCATTAGTAACAGAATTTTGGGATCAAGAAAAGTGTTGCTTAGACATCTACTCAGGCAATGAAAGATAATAAATATTGGTGCTACTTAACAGAATTTCATTAATTGTAAAGGCCTTCATCGAGGGAGATGGATATATAATGTCAAAATCATAATCAAAATGGTTGCCTTTTGCATGGGCAGAGCACGTGGAGTGTGGAGAGGCAGCACATACAGCCTGAAGTGTGCTACTTCTAGCTCATTTACAGCACACCGGTACTCACTGAGTAACATTGCTTAGCAATGAAGAGAAACAACTGAAGTATAACCTCAGAGGATAATTAAGAAATAACATAGTTTTTTTCTTTTGCTTTCCTTGACATATTTTCTTTACAAGACTCAATTCAACTTTAATTAAGTTTTGCTTTGAGGCTCTGAACCTGAAGCAGTGCATTTTTATTTTACTTGTAATATAACCTTTACCTTGCAGGTAAAAAAAAATAAAGTAATGGAGCTATAATCATCAGATCATAGAATGAAAGGATTATGAGTTTTATACAGGCTAAAAAATAAAACCTTTGAATTAATTAGCATTTTATGAGTTTCAGGTACATGTGAAATATCAAATTAATAGGGCCTTATTCTATTCTTTTTAGGTGTTAGAAGAGTATTAAATGAGAAAATGTAACTCATGTTCAATTTAAGAGCTCTTCAAACTAGAAGGATGTTGGAAAATGATTAAAAACTAGGCCCTGAAAGCTTCACCAATTTTAATAGTTTAAAATAATTAATATAAGCCATAGGTTTGGGGGGGTGGGTTAACCAGAATAAGATGAATAAAATTCTACATCAAAACCCCCACCCTTTTAAAATGAAGTATCTTGTCTTCAAAGTTACTTTTATATCTCTGATATGAGCACTATCATTTTGAATCTTTCCTTTCAATGTAGAATTACAAAGCCTATACTATTGCTCATTATCCAATTTTGTCTGAGAGGTGCAATAGAAACAAGTGAACTAACCAGTCAAAGGCAGATGCAGTTGCAGCTCTGAAAGATCACAGGACATGAAAAATTAGTAATAAAGCACACATTTATTTGTGTATTAAACCGGCAAATCATTCTCATTAATACTATATATTCATGTCAAGCATTTTAAAGACAATATCGAAATTGTAATCTAATTTTGATAATGAAATATGTTAAGCACTTCTACAGTTTTATTTTTTGAGTCACAACAATATTAACTACTTTCATTGTCCCAACAAGCAAATATGAGTTTCCAACAGAGACTTATCTCAATCTTATCTTCAATGAGAATCAGAGCTAAAGGTTTCACTGTCCAAAGCATAATCTATTCTAAATTCCTGTGCTGAAAATACAAATAAGGAAGTATTTCACTGTACATGGTCAGAAACTCAAACTAGTTTTATAGTTTTTCTACTATGGGTATTATAGATGGATTTGTCATGTAATTTCTGGAACATTTAATATCCCATTGACATCCTATTACTAAAATGTCAAACATGAACAGATATTGATCATGCTAAAATATAAAAATCCAAACTCTGAAATAATCACTTGAAGGGGTACAGAAATGTCAAAACCAACATTGATTGCAGAGAGCAGCCTTACACATTCCTGGTTTTCGGTTGTGCATCTAAGGAGTGTATCATGTACCCTAATAACTACAGCAAGAAAGGCAGAGAGAAATTCTGATTTGAGATCAACTTATTTTTGGAACTCTGCTCTTCAAGGTAAAGATTGGTAAGAGAAAGGAATGAACACAATCCAAACATAGACAGTATTACTTCTTCAATGTAATTTTGATTTCATGCTGAAGACCCTAAGTCTGAGACAGAATTTTTGCCAGAAACAATGACACTAACTTAACTTTGTGCCCTTGTGCTCTGTTGCTTATGAACTTAGCTTCAGATCCACCATCCAAACTTCACTTTCAGTGCAGCAGCTTGCTACAGCTTCTTTTGTGAGGGGAAGGTAGAGATTGTGGAACAAGGTAAGTGTTGGGAAAAAATGGCAAGCTCATAGAAACAGAAGAATCCTTCAATATTTCAGTGTTTTATCTGGTCAACTACAGAGATTTCAGAATCTTGCTGGAGGTTAAAGAGGCCTATTTCAATATGCATATGTGACTACTGGCTATTTTTTGAACTTTTTAAACTATTCCACAGTTGAATGCAGATAAATATTCATCTGTAACTTACACATTTTTTTCTAAGTGAAGATCAGCAATTATGCTTGGTGCTAACTTTGTTTAAAAGTTAAAGTCATCCTCCTCTTTAATCGCTCCTCCAATCTCATTTAACATCCTTATGTGACTGCCAAAACTCACTCTGACCTGAATATTACAATAACATTAGAGTAAGACACATTTTGAGTCAGGGTTTAGTATTGTTTTGATCAAACATCAGGATGGGATAAATAAGCACCTTTTAATGAAGATTTCGTCATTGTAATCCATGCTCCTTGACTTTCTCCTTTGCTAAATCATGAGGCACGATACACTCTGCTCCATGTTGTTTGCTTGGTCAGGGGACCGTGGGCAGCTGAGAGGACAGCACCAGAGCTCCAGACACCTCCTCGACCTCTTTCAGGATGCTACTGATCAGGTCCGTCTGGACCACAGGAGTGCAAAAGTACTGAGTCTTGCTAAGTCCAGGACAAGATCCACATCAGCATCTGAAGAAGGCTAATTTGTATTTCCCCTTCTTTGCTCATAGCCATTACTACAAAGGGCAGTCAACACAATCCATGCATTTGCTCAGCAACTCTGTTGTCCTTCAATCAAAGTGCTTTTCAGTTTATACCTCCCTCTCCAATTTGCTGAAAAGGTGGCATGTGCATAAAATGGGCATGGAAATTTGGAGACACATGGTGAGGAAAGGACCATGATAAAGCAGTAAGCATTTCCACAGCATAAAGCAGCATGAGCACAAATTGCAGGACATTTTACAAAATGACAGCAGATGTTTATCTTGACTACACCGACTAAGGTGGTTTTTCTCTCCTAGCTGTATAAAATTAATATTAATCAGCAGAATGTGACATCAAATTGTACAAATTAATATGACCTTCTATAATAGGGTTGAAGAAAAACGACTATCTTTCAAAGTGTTCAAGCAAAGAGAAGGTGGGTTATTTTAATAAGAGTATCATGCAGGTTCTTGTCCTGCTAAAATATTTTTATGACTACTAATTACTTATGTTCTAAGGGGAAAACAATGGTTTCTCTATTCATTCTTAGACTATTTCACAGCCAGAGTGCACATGAGCCAGCTTGTACTTCTTAAACCAAGTAAGTGCAAGCTTTAGTCTTGATGATATTTAAGATGCAAGACAGAGTGAAGATTTGACTAGTTCTGTGTGGTTGTCTCTGTAGAAATTTGTCCTATAACATTTTAAATTTTTTATTTATACGTTTTAAATAATCTTAATAACAGATTTATATTTTTTCAAGTTTTATGTATTTTCCAATATGCTCATAAACCTAGATTTAGAGGTACTTTCTCCACAAGGACATAAGAATTTCTGAGATCAGTTTTATTTGTTTAAAATGACAATAGAAAATCCATTTTGAAACTAGATGTGCAGCTTTCAATTGGAGAAAATCAAAATTATGGGCTTTCACACTTCTCTCTTTCTGCCATTTTTGTTCTTGAAGGTCAGACCTTGCTCTCAGTCCCTTCATGTTTTTTATTGAATGTTAGTGACTTTCTCAGTGACGTCACCTCAGGCTGGTGCCCAGAAGCACAATCTGGCAAGGTAGAAGTTTGTCTGTCCATGTTGTCCACTGCAGTCTCTTTAGTGCCTAAGTGAGACTGAGCAGCTCTTACTGTTGCTGTTTCCCCTCTGTAGTTTCCATAGGAAAGATTCAACATCCCTTCAGACATCCCACCTGATCTCATCTTGTCAGCTATAAATTAGGCCTCTTCAAACCAAGACAGAGAAGCCAGTGTTTTCCACTATTATTATTAGTAGTAGTAGTATTAGTATTACTATTGCTATTAATATTACTATTACTATTTTCTGTATTTGCCAGTCATTTTTACTTTGTTACCACTTAAAAAAAATTCTTGATCTCATTGTGCTAAACGCTTCATGAACATAACCAGTGAGAATGTCTGTGTCCCTAAAAGCTTTCAGTCTGAAGGACAGGATATAAATAGCTGATGAAACAATCAAATCAACCGGAAAAAACTGGGGGAAAACATGCTAAAAAAAATAAAAATCCACAGTTTAATTCATTCTGCATCACAGCCACAATTTTCCCATCTGTTTCTGACTGATAACAGAATGAGAGATAAAATTTCCCCTGTTGCTGCTTAATTTAGTAAAACATTATGTTAAAAAGATATTGCCTCTCTGAGGGACATCAGTGAAATGAATACAAGTGAATACAAAGCTTAAGGGGTTTTGGCCTTCCAATTATTCCAAAGGAAAATAAGCATCAACATGATTCTTTGCTTCTCTATACTGCCAACAAAACTGGTAGCTCTAACAACAGGCAAGTCAAAACAGCAAGTACTTCTCAGTCTTCCAGTTTTTCTGTGTGTAATCTCACCAAAGTCAAGAGCTGTACAGGATAGGATTCAGCCATAGGAGGCTTAATTCAGGAAACAGGCGTAAATAAACCAAATCAAATTGTAAAACAGGGAGAAGATTTTTTTCCTTTAACTTTTCAGAGGGAGGAAAAAAATATTTTAAAAAGTACCATCCAGCAAAAGTAAATCTAAGCAAATTTTGCTTAAAATAGCTAAATATGTATTATATTTGAAACCCTTTTACTAGTCTTTTAATATATTCCCATAATTTTTTCATCAGGAGAAGCCAGCAACTTATGTCCATTATAATTATTAATCACAGTAATTTGTTGTCTTAAAGAATTCAGGCAAAATTTGCAAAAGATAGAAAGCTAATAGAAAAACTAAAGGCAATATTTCTATATTTATTCACCTTAGAAAAAAGATGAATTTTGATGTGCTAATAACATCTAGATAATTACCCTTTTAAGATAAATTTTAGGTTTATAATCCAATGTAAAGGCTGGGATGTGGAGAATTACTATGAGCCTTGTTTAGCTCCATAAGCAATAGTTAAAGGTTCAGCTGTATTTATCAAACCGATTCTTCATTGATTTTTTTCTTCTGCCATGCAGCTTATTGATTTATTTGTGCTACTGAAAATTGTCTGTCAGCTGTTCGATTTGGCCACCTGACTTTTCAAAAATTTGATTACAAAGCAAACACTTCATCCTGGGTTATGGATGTGAGAACAACTGGCAGCAGCAGAGGCACACACATCTGGGGCAACAGCTGTTTGCTAAGTGAGCCTGTGTCCAAGCCCAGGTGCACTGTGTCCCTGTGCTGCCACGCAGCCCTTTCCTCAACCACTCATGTAAAGATCATTCAAGCTCCTCTGTCTTACGTTGTGATCCATAACATGATAGTTATAATATATTGCACAAAGATTTACCATCATTTTGTACAATAATTTATCTACATCTCAGAGGACTAGGTTGCTTTTGTGGTTCTTTCATAGGTAAGAGGAAATATGTAATCCCATTTAGTAATGAATTTTAAAGCAAACAAGTTTTCTGGCTGCATTTTGAAGTGTCTTCACTTTTTTCTTTCTTTTCTCTGACCTGATCAATAGTCTTCGATTTGCCAGTCAGGCCATCTCGAACTTGGCTGCTAATTTAGAAACTTCCGGAAACAGAATTTTTCACCTTCGGTTTTCTATTTAACACATTCCAAGCGTCACTTCTCAGGTAATATGAAAGATAATTTCTTTCTCATCACAAGAGAAAAGAAAATTTCTAGCTATTTTCAAAATTATTCTGAAAGGATAGAAGCTGTCTGCAATTTTTTTCTGACCGCTTTTCTTTCTTTTGGTTGGTTTGAGGGTTTTTTTCTTTTTTTTCCCCCTGGGAGCCCCAAAACTGATTAAAACTCAAGCTGTTGAGACAAAGTAATTTTGAAAGATTAATTTGATGTCTTATATTTCTTTAGTATTTAGTATGCTTTAATTAGCCTTGGTAATTAAAGGATTCTAAAGAAATATAAGATGGAAGTTCCCCAATAAATATACTGAATAGCACAAACTACACCTTCAGGAGAGCTATGAAGAAATTATGCTCTTTGCTTTGCTTAATTTATTTTTGCTTTTGAATACAAGCAGGGTGAAGACACAAAGATCTGTGTAGTTCATAACTAATTACAATCTTCAGGATTTTTTTTCAAGAGTTTGCTCCCGCTACCAGAAAAACAGGATAGAAATCATAGGGTAAAAAATATCAGAACATATGACCAAAAAATATCTGTTAGAACATAATGAGAAGAGAAATAATAAAAGATGTAAAAGGGATAGAAGGAAAGGAAAATCAGGAACTAAAGAAGTGAGCTAAAACACTAAGAGAAGAAAATAATGGTACAAGAATAAACTTGCCTGTAATTTCTTCTCAGTCTTGGCTTACATAGTTTGCTTTTAAATACTATTCCAAACATAATCATTTAAATATATCAGATGTGGTCTCAACAGAAAATAAGATTACCATTTCACACATCAACTACTAATTCCCAAGTCGGTATAGATCTAGCTTGGAATGATTCACTGATCCTAAAAGATCTTAAGTAGAGATTCAACATACAATTAAACAGGCATACAATTAAATTCCAGTCCCTGTTTCCTTTTACATGTACTATTAACCTGTCCCTATGTTTTAGTAGATTTGACTGTGTCACTAAAGGCCTTTTATTTTGTTGGTAAAATATATAGGTATGTATATATTACTTTTTCCTGTATGTATTTTCTTGAGAAGTAAGAGAAACTACATTTTAATGGGAAATTCATTGTGATTTGGTCAACATTTTCATTTATGATTCTGCTGTCTTTTTGTGCTGTATGCTTATATGGAACTTGCTTATTGTTATACTTCAGAAGTAATTGAAATCTATAAAAGACATCATACTTTAAAGACAATAAAAGGGGAATATTTAGCTATACAGTTTATCCAAAGTGTAAGTTAAAGGAAGTCTGATGAGTTGTTTTAAATATATCACATTTTCTAGGCAAAGAAACATGAATTTTTATTTGGTGTTAAATTATTTTATAAAACCCTACTGGAATCTTTATTCATGCTAATAATCATAATTCTTTTAAATTGCTTGGCACTATCATATACAGTAAATAATGTCCTTTGCACAGAAATATACACTAAAGCCTAAAAAAACACCTTAATATGAGGCAAAATTAATAGCAGTAACCAGTAGCAATATTTCAGCTTCTTGTCAGCTTGTAGTTGATAAAATATTAATTCTTATGTCTGTCACAGAGAATTGAGATTACCACACTCATCAAGCATTATCAACTACTAAATATTTCATTAAAAATGATGTAGCAAATCAGTGCTCTTAGGTGTTGTGGGTTGTGGGTTTTTAAGGCATTGCATATCAATACCCTTAAAGAAGCCAAGAAGTTCCACACTAGGACATGTGCAACCCACAGCATACTGCCACTTAACACTAAACCATGGGTATGGGTGCATTGCTCAGGCAGCTGCTTTTGAATTGAAACAAAAAACAATCTGACATATTACAGAAAACTGAAATTGATGGCG